GTAGTATTGTACAAGTCCATGTAAGCATCATCCAAGGGAATGTTTTCCTACACGTAAGAAACGGTACTGGGCTCGTTGGGTCAATAGGAGGTCGCATGTGTTGGGGTTTATTGTCTTCTCTCACCTATTCCTTTTTGTTTCATACATTGTGTGATAGCAGTGCTGGTTTCATTTGTAAATCCTTGTGTAGACTTGAAGAACTTTTTTTCCTTTTATGTTCTATTGGAACATCCTAGGTTTATCCGGCTAGATCATCAAGGTTGTATAGCCCAGATTTCCCAAATGACATATTTGAGACACAAAAAGCAGCTATTCAGCCATGTGGCACAGTGGCTAGCACTGATTCCATCTAGGTTCCCTCATGCCAATTACACTTCCTAATCAGGGCTATGCGATAAATCTATTAAGCACATTATCTACATGAACCATTTAAACACCTGCCAAGGGGGGGGGGGGGCTTCGATGAGGAATATTATCACATAGAATATGCATTTCAGATAATCATTTCACAACTTAACCAAACGAGGGAAGCTGCAAAAAAATCCAACTACAAAGCATAAGAGAGTTCCTCTAACAAACCCAACCCTAATGAAACAAAGTGACACTCCTCAGCAATCTATGGGATGGGGATCATCTATCAGTGACTCCGAACAGAAGCACGAGAGTTCATCACTAGATATCAAAGCGAGAGCAAAAGAGCAACAGTCCAATCACAAATCTCAAAAGATATTGTGCTAGAGATATGCAAGAAATTGGGGCAGATCTATTGTAATCCCTTGAAAGAAGGCCGTTCTTGGCGAGCCAAATGTTCCAGGAGCCAGAGACACCTAAACTTAATAAAGGGAACAGGGAGCTTATAAAACTTGCACTCTCCAATAAATGCAATATGGTGCGGGGGGGTTGGGGGGAGGGAGGGGCTGAAGAGCTATCGCTTCATATTACACCAAGTCTGAAAAAATGAATATTACACCATGCACTGTGTGAGGCCTCGAAAAAGCCAGATGGTGCAGCACCGTGATGGATGTGATTAATAAGCACAAGGCTGATATAATCTTCATTAATGCATCAAAGTTAGAAAGGGATGCCTACAAAATAATCAGATAATTTGGGGCCAGGACTACTATCCCATCTGGAGGAGCTTAAGGAGGAATTGAAGTGATATGGCATGGCAGGAAAGTAACAAGACACAAGGAATGCCTAAGTGGGGAGTTCTATTTAGGTCCCCATGCATTCAATGGGAGATTGATTTACTCAGTTCATGACAGTTGTATACAGGCCAAATGATCCCTGTTGAAGAGACAAATTCTAGCATGAATTTGATAGGGCTTGAACAGACTAGGATATGCCATGGTGCTTGTCTGAAAACTTTAACGTAATGCACTTCTCTCATGAGAATAAAAGTGGAAGTAGAGTCACTAAAAGCGGGTTAAATTTCTCAGAGTTTGAGGAAGGGCATTGAGTCATTAATCTACCAATAAGAGATGGCATTTACTGAGAGTATCAACAAAAGCAATCCAACTCTTGCATGAAAAGACAGATTTCTCATAATAGGAGAGAGGGAACACAAATTCCAAGGAGTTAATCAGCAGCCAGTTTCCTAAAACTGCATTGGACCATTGTCCAATCATCCTTAACTCGGAATAATAGGACCTTAACTTGGAACTAACAAGAAGAGGTCCATATCATTCCATTCTGGATGACATGGTTGAAATAGTCCAGGTTTAAGCAGATGACATCCTCTTGGTGGAAAGAGCTATGTCACAAAGGAAACAGTGGGCTTGGACTTACAAAAAGGTTTCAATTGCTAAAAGCAAAACACAGGTTGGAAAGAGGAAAAGGAAAAGTTTGGGGATCTCATGGGGAAGAAAGGGCAGATCTTGACAAAGATCCAAGAATTAGATTGTAAAGAAGAACCAAGAGTGTTGCAGCAGGAAGAAAGAACCAACATGGTATCACTGATAATGCAACCCCGAGAGATACTGCTCCAAGAGGTAATTAGATGCCACCAGCACTCACAATTTGAATGGCTCAATGGCTTAAGAAGGGAGACAAGAACACTGTAGATATCCACAAAATTATGAATGCCAGATCAGCCAGACAATGAGAAAATCATATCCGGGCTATCAAGGTGACTGTATCAGGTTTGAGCACGACAACAAAGTGATTTCAGCCATCACAAGATATTATAAAATGTAATAACAGGCTGATAATATTCAGCAGCTGAGCAGAGACAACTAGAATTTGATAAAATAACACATCACAATGCTCAATTCATAGAGCGAACATCCTCAGAGGAAGAATTTAAGGATGCCTTCTTTGTCTTGGGAAGGGACAAGGCCCCTGGTCACGACAAGTAAGCGACAGGTTATGGGAAGCTTTAAAGGAGGAAATCTTGAAAAAAAAATCTGATTTTCACTAGAAAGAGACACTCCATAGGGATCCTCAGCGTAACATTCATTACTCTAAAGCCCAAGATTGAGGGCACTAGAAAGGTTAAAGACTTCCGACCAATGGGTCTCATTGGGGACGCATACGACATAATAGCAAAGGCACCTCATCTAGACTGCGATTGGTGTTGAGTTTACTCATCTCCTTAGCAAAAAGTGTTTTTATTGAAGGCCGTCAATTGCCAGATAGTGCCATGATAGACAACGAATGCATTGCTTCCAGGCTAAGGGAAGGAAGCCCATGGATGATCTTCAGGATAGACATGGAAAAGGCATATAATTTTGTTGATTGAGATATTCTCCTATGCATGTGTAAAGATCAGCCGACCAGATGGCTGCTACCGTGGCACAAGAAGGCATATACTGAGAGGGCTTCACGAATGGAACACCAACCTCCCTCCTTGAATCCAGCCTTTTTCCATTATTTGTCATTAGAATCTTTATCTCGCTCAATGCTAGCTCTCTCTGATTTTCCCTCCCTCCTTCATCTCCTCTCTTTCCCCCACTCAATAGTACCTATATCTGTTTGTCTGTGCCAATAGGCACAACTTGATGGATATAGTTCAACAGTGCAATCAGCTTGATCATTACAGACGGTCCCCTCACCACCGGCCACCATACGGTTTGGTTTTGTCACTCTAGTGGGGCGGCCCAAGACACATGGATCAAACTAAAAGGCCTTTGACTATAGCAACTACAAGGCCTTTCACTACATAATGAAGATTTGACGTCATTAAATTTGAATGATCCACTTGCAATGAACTTCAATGTTCTAGCATATTGTAGAAGCATGTAGTCATATTTGCATGTCCAAGCACAACTACGTAACTGTTTTCTTGAGCATACACACACACATGCATGTGAAAAATGATTGTTACAAGACAGAGCCACTGCACAAAAAATAATAGATGGAACTAAAAGGAGTTTGATGCTCTAATACCTTGCAATGTTTATTGAAGAAAACTATAATATCCTGTCAATTACAGAGCAATTTGAAAAGGCATATATAATGCAATCTTCATATGTTTAACATGCATCAACTATCAGGAAGAAAAGAACACGGCTGTGTCAAATGGACTTCATTTTTAAGGGCATAACAGCAAAATGCAATGAATTTTCCACAACAGATAAGCAGTTACTCAACAAACAGAGTTCATAAGAGGGTGTGCTTTCCATCTTAGAGCCACAGAATCCTTGCAGTAGCCTCTTACAACAAGAGAAATCACCAGAACAAGGCCCTGATTTGAGAGCTCAAACTCCATACCATAGTACAAGGACCAAAATACTTATTCTAGTCCAAGGTCCTCCATATACCACCAATTCCGTTTTGGGATCGAATTTAAAATAGCTAAACTATTAAGACTGATGTGTGCGCCCATACAATCAAAAGCGCCTTCCATTTTAGACTAGACCAAACAAATCAACAACAGGAAAAATCCAACTAGCTACCCTAAAGATGAAGTTCGAAATTAGTAGGAAGGCACGCTCCAACCCATTCAATCCCTTCAATATACGTACAACTGCAGCTTAAAGGCCCAACTTCGTACCAACATCCAGCCAGATTAACCACTGAGTCAGAAAGTACCATCCAACTAAATCTCCCTATCAAATTATTCAAAAAGGAAAAAGTTCGAAGAAGAAGAAAGTAGCCCAAAGATTACTCCAATAGCAGAGCTAAACCCCCATCAACTTACACAGTTACAAATAAGGGGGGGAGAGAGAGAGCGAAGCGGAAAAAAAAAAGGGAGCCAAAACCTAAAAGCCCAGATTCATTTCTCATTTTCAAACAGGATAAAAAATGAAACCAACAGTAGGTTATGGAGCACAGGAACTTGCAAGGATCAACCCTAAATCTTCACGAAGCCACAGAAAGGCCAAAACTTGAAACCCCAACTTTTTTATTTTTGAGAAATATGTTAAACTTTGTATATAGACTATAAATTACAGAATGCGGAAACCTAGAGACGGCATCCCACATGCTGGGTGCTCAGACTACATAGTTACAGTTGGGGGGAGGTAGAGAAGAGAGAAAGAGGAAAGAGAGATAGTCACCTGAGTTAAGAAAAGCTAAGATTAAGGGAGAGTATACATAATAGAGGACACAAGATGGGTACTCAACTTCCATAACTTATTAAAACAGTCAAGCATTAAGGGGATTGGACAACTTACAAAATGAAAAATGAAAAACCAATGAGATTAGGAACTGAACTGGAGAAGAGAGGAATCATAAAGAAAACGACCAAATAAAACCCAAACCCAAAACCATAACCATAACCATCAAATCAATCAATCGATCACAAGCAGAAGAAACAAAAAACAAAAAACTAAACCCAATCATGGAGGAGAAAACAATCAACTAAACCTTATTACAGCAAAAAAACTCACAAAACGAATAACCACCAACCAATTCTCATTCTGGGAAAAAAGAAAGAGAAACTCCTGCCAAAACCCCAAAGGAGCCAGCTCTATTGAAACCAATCAATCACAAACAAGATTCGAACAAAATAAACCAGAACAATATCAAATTCAGCCATGGAAGAGAGAGAAACTCACATTGTGGGGACACTAGTGGATATCTCGGGCCAAAAATTATCAACCAAAGTGTTGAGGTTGGTTAGGGCATGGAGCTTCAGGACTGGGTGACTCTCGTTAAGCATGGCCAAGAGGCCACTTGCAGAGCTCACCACTGCCGCCGCCATTGAAGCCGCACTCTAGCTTCAAATCTCCGATCCTTAGAGAGAGAAGGAGAAGAAGCTCGAGGGCCTGGAGAACTTAGAGAGAGAGAAACAAAGTTCGGGGGGGATGAAGTCACCTTTTCCTGCTCAACAAGCAAACCTAAAATTAAGTAAAAAGTCTTGAGAGACAAACTCATGGATGTGCTCGTATAGGACTATAGTGTAATCTACTCCTTCGGACAAATTATCATTTTTTTTTTTCTTATTGAAATTGTGGGATCATGGAGAATATTAAAAAAAAAGGATAAGTATAATAATTTATTTTTGGTACAAAATGGTCATAATTAATTATGAGTATTAGATGTGAAATTAGGTGGCTGCATTTATTCTATAGGATTATCTAGAAAGAGACTATTTATCTTTAAGAAAAGTTTATATAGAGTCGAGGTTCTAAACAATCAAATTTTAGCCTACCTCAAAAATTTCACTGTAAGAGGTTGTTTTGATACTCAAATATCCCTCAAATTGATCATCTTGACATCAAGATGTATGGACATGAGAAAAAAGTGAATTTCAAGTTTTGAATATAGTGTATTTTGCAACGCATTTGTTGCCTGTCAATTTTGAAGATTTTCAAGTTTTCATAGATCCATCGATCTACACTATTTTGAAGCTTTAAACTTTATAAATAAAGATGAAAATATATTTTACAGCTATTACAAATATTTTCAGTATTGAAACTATATTTTTTGATACTATTTGAAGGTAGGCTCTAATTTGATTGTTTAGAGCCTGGGCTCTATACAAACCGCACCCTTTATCTTTTGCACATAGAGGTCACAATTATTCTTGTCACTTAAACTTCAAAATCGGTGGTTGTAAGAGTGTCATTGAATAGACATAAAGTTCCACAAAAAATGTTCTTAGACTTTGTGACCCACCCCAAACCATCTAATTTGACATCTAATGAGTGGGAATGATTGTGATCTTCATATACAAAAGATAAATGATCTCTTCGTAGGTAATCTCTTACTTTCTATTGACCAAGCTCAAAATTTAAAAGTAATTTCTTTGAACTTTATGACGCATCCAAGCTATCAAATTTCATATTGGATGGTTATAAGTAATTGTGATCTCCTTATATTACAAGTAAATGGTCTCATTATATACAATCCCTTAAAAAATTATCTCTATACGCCTCAAATTGGGGCCTCGGGGCCTCAGGATACTTTAACATATGTTCTACCCAATAAAGGAACAATTGATCTGCCAAAAGGAGGAGAGGTACATTGAATGGGTAGAAACATAGTAATGATCTAACTCCACCTGCCAATACCACCGATCAAAATGTCGATACTTGTGCTTTTGGCGGGTCTTTTCCAAAGCAACATTTGTTTTGTAGAAATTTGGTTAAAATAAAACTAATATTTGACTAGTTTCACTTGTACAAGTGGCTGATTTTGATTGGTTAAACTGATCAAATGAAGCTAATGCAACTTTTTTTGTAAGATATTTATTTATTTCTTCATTATTATTATTAATTTTTAATCTTTAAAAATTTGATCCAACAAAATTGATAAGTAATCTAATTAATTTTAATTAAACTAGACCCCTCACTAGTTCAATGTCTAAGGTTATCATAATACAATACATACAAAAGCCCAATCTTCATTTGAAGTATCCATATAACACTTGTTGGGGTTTTGTGGTCATTTAAAGGCCTTATGAAAGTATGTACTGAAATCAGTTTTAGTGATATGTTGGAATGTGGTCCAGATTAGACTGTGAGGCATTATTAGTGTCAAGACTCACTTGAGCTTTGACTGACTATGGCTCAAGATGATGTCTAAAGCCTGTAGCCCTTGTCATTTTGTGCACAACCGATAAGGGTTTCAATGTCGGTTTATCCCTTGATGAGGTCAAAGTTGCGCCCATGACAGTTAGTCAGGGAGTTGAGTGTGACCCTGTGTGATGGGTGGCCTAAGTGTACAATGGTCAAAAACCTCATTATTATCATCACACGGTATATATACTAGATAGTCGTCCAGGAAGCGGCCCTCTGGATGAGAGCAAGTATTGTGTATATGTGTCAAAGAAATGACTCCCTACAATTCTTGTGTGTTGAAATACTCATGGAGTACCGGAATAGGTCATGGACTTGTCCTCAGGGAAGGATCTATAATCCATAGACTAGGACCACATCTCCTACATTTATTGGCTGACTTTAATGTCAAATCATGAACCCCTGTGAAGAGTTGTGGGTCATGAGAACTAGTGGATCATTTTGCAAAGGTGCAGTAAGATACAGTTTCTAGAAAGGATAGAGTCATCAGTATATTTATTATATTTCCAATTCTCTGGATTAAATTCCCATCAAATATTTGTTTAATATTTTACTAATATTTTAATTATATTTGAGATAATTAAAATGAATTTTTAGACATCTCATAATATTTTAATGTATTGAGACAAGATTTTTAAATAAGGAAAAATCATTTTTTTGGATTTATTTTAATTCAAAGAGAAAAACAAAATATTTAATAGATTTCTAAAAATATTTTTACTATTTTTAAATATAATATAGGGTGTGGGGGCCCATTGAGACTTTGGGCCCACCACAATAAGGCCACTACTTGGGGCGTGGGGCCCACATGGCTATCCATGTGTGGGGCGTCCCACTCCATTCTTTCCTTTTTGTGTGGCTTGTGTACTAAGCCATTGATTGAAAAAATAAAGGAAAATGTTTTGTAAATAATTTGATTAATTTCAAATAGAAAGGTGTAGAGAGTAATTACACGTTTGGTTGATGTGAAAATATTTTTCAAAAAACATTTTCACATGAAAAAATTATCTCATATGGTTAAGTGTAAGAAAATTTTTACATCAATTAGTTACCAATTGGTATGAAAAAATGCACTAAGAACAATTGGTATGAAAATATTCCCACACCTAACTACATAAAGGAATTTTTCACATGAAAATAATTTATAATAAATCATTTTTATGCGAACCAAACATACCCTACTTGAAATGGATTTGCAAAAAGATAGTATTTTCCCTACACAATTCTACCTCATTTCTTTTAATCATGACGGTTGGTCTAAGGAATGATTGGATAATATATCTTTTACCTCACAAGTCTCCATGGTCAAATGTTAATATTGAAGTCTCGTAACAATGGTCAAAACCCTAGCCTCAATATTACAAATACTCTCTATGGGGGTTATTTTCTCTACACCTTTTGATTAGCCTCTCTCTCTCTCTCTCTCTGAAACCTAGTGCAGGCACGCCTGTCTCTATCTCTTTGTCTTTCTCTCTCAACTTAGCATTGGGCTCAATTGTAGAAGGTAGAACCCTTAGGGGAGCACGCCCAAGCTAAAAGTGGCCATGCCCTAACCTATGTGCATTGTGATTTCTTCATGTGTTGAGCTTTGATCAAAGTCATATCTTATGTCTCTCAAAAGGTTTTGTCTAGGTTTCTCGAGTTATGAAATAAGGTTAGACTGTGATCCTGTGCGCCATTGGTGGATGAGACTTGGTGTGGGGTATACGAAGTCATCGGGGGTAACTTGAGGCAAGATATTTGATATTATTCTATTTGATGCTTTCTTGAATTCATTCATAGTGTTAAGTAATCTTCAAATTTATGTTATGAATGAGTTTTTGTTTTTATGGCAATCAAGTAACATTCTTCGTATTTTTTAATTACTTCATATATTGTATTTGGATACTTGTAAGTAATTCAGTTGGTGAAAATAAAGAAAAAGTATGAAAAGTTTAAATGGTTTACATTTGCCTAGGTCACATAATCCTAGTTTTAAATTTAAATTTAAATTTAGTCCAACAAATTTGATAAGTGATTTAATTGATTTTAACGAAACTAGACCCGGCACTAATTCAATGTACTATGCCATCATAATACAATGTATACAAAAACCCAATATTCATTTGAAGTATCCTGTCCAAAGGCCATCATTATACAATGCATACAAAAGCCCAATCTCCTTTTGGTGAGCATATATGACGTAGTTTTAACATAAAATAACAGCTTACTTGAATTTAACACCTGCATATTTACTAGTCCACGGGGCATGGTACATAAGGTCCAACCTAATTATGAATTGATTTTAGATTAATTAGTCTATATTGGTATAATATATTTTTGAAACCATCAAAAGCCATAATTGTAAAATAAAAATAGAGAATTTCATATTATCAATGAAATGTTTCATTGTGAAAATATCTGGTTCCCAAAAAATAATGTCTCAAGATTGAACCTGGATGTCCAATTGTTTGAGGCAAGAAATAAGTGTTGAAAACTCAATATTGATTATTATTATTTTTTAAAATAATCACAAGGTGATTCTTAGATAAATCTCAAATTTTCAAATTAGAAAAATCCTCCCTAGTTATTCTTTTGCCCAAGGGAGTTAATGTATGGTATGCTCTTACGAGAACATGTTATAAATGCTAAACTTCATTTATTAGAACATAGCTGTGAAGGTGAATTGTTTTTTTGAATGCAAATTATATATTTGATTCAATGAAAATTAAGACAATTTTATAAAATTATGAAAATTTCATATTTTTTTCTTTTATTTGAAATAAAAATTGGAAATATATATTAATCCTCTATAATCAGTGAAAACTTTATTTATGAAGACTCTATAAAGAGATAATCCTCTAAACTCATATTTTAAATTGATCAAAAGCATTATTGAAGCAACAAACTGCGTAATAAAATAAAAAAGTTACTCATTTAATAATTAATTATGTTCTGCTACATGCAAAGAAACCTTATGTTATTAGAAGGATATGGTGTCAAAGTTATTAATTTTTCAAACCCTTTCATTATTAATTTATAAAAATAGCAGCATTCATAACTAAGAATTCAACTCATCGCGAAGATTTTATATCTCGAATAGCAACTAATTCTATTTTTTCTCAAAAAAAAAAAAACTAATTCTATTTAGTTCATAATTCTCTCGCTAATGAATAATATATCATTCCAACTGTTATTATGGAATCAATTGAAACGAAAGGGAATTATTGAATGGTAATGAGATTTAGGCATGTATCCCAAAATTTAGTATCTGTGGTACATATTTGGTGTATGACGAGTCATCCTTACTATCAAAATTAATTTTCTTTTAGCGATTTACTTCGGAGAGGGGTTTGTGTA